TTCTGCCAAGAGCTCTCTCAGCCCCAACTACCTCCCAGGCAGTGCTCCCTCTAAGCTGTGGAGTCTTGTGAGCCAAAATTCTACTTTGTGAGCTACTGGCATTAAAGTTGTGAGCGAGCGATTTGGCTACTGCATAAATTAGTTTGCTCTGGAGCCCTCCGTTCCTGAGCTAAGACAAAAATGTGTGAGCTGGAGGCTAAAAAACTGTGAGCTAGCTCACACTAACTCAGCTTAGAGGGAACACTGTTGTGGGGAGGGGAAGGGAAAGGAGTTTGTAAGCCGCTCTGAGACTCCCTTGGGTAGTGAAGGGCGGGGTATAAATCCAGTCTCTTCCTCTTCCTCTTCTTCTTCTTCTTCTTGAGAGTCAGTCTTTAGCGTGGACAGCAGTTTCAAGGGAGAGTACAGGTGGGACTCCTTTTACCAGAGACTCCGTGGGCAGTCCAGGCCACTACTGACCGTGGTGGAGAGCAAGGGGGGTGGCAGTACTGGTGGCCAGTCCTGAGGAGGAGGGCTGAAGTTTCTCTCCACAACAGGAAGGGGGGAAAGCAAATCCTGGCCCGAGGCCACAACCCACTACAAAGGTAGAGAGGGTGTGTGGGTAGGGACAGAGGAATTGCAATTTTATCCTGTTTATTTTCTGTGCCCAATATGTATATAGTTAAATAAATCTTCCTTTTTGAGTTTAAAAGGCTTGGTGTGCCTTAACCACAGGGTCCTCCCCACTCTGCACGTTACCAGGGGCAAAGGGAGGCCAGGGAACACAAACGGGCCAGAATAAGAGGCATTGCCAACTCTCCAGGGGGCACCCAAAGATCGAGTTACCCGTTTCCAAAGGTGGGGAATTTAGCCAGAGGGGTCTCACTGTCCCTCAAGGAAGGCAGTAACTCAATTCAGTGAGTGGTGGCAGTGGTACCGAAGAGAAATAGTCCCACCAGGAAGGGGTGGGAACGCCAAAACAGGGGCTTGCGAGCCACAGAATGGCGGCTCAGTCTCCCAGGGCTGAGGGCGGGTCCCCGTTTCGCCACAGAGGGAATCGAACAAATCCTCATAAAGCCAAATCAGAGGAAACCTTCCCCATTAAAGTCTACCTTTCCTAGGCAATGATTTCTCTCAAAGAGAGCCAAGACGGTTATAGTCCATCTCGGTTCTCGGAAAACAGAGGACTGATTCTTCACCTCAGTGAACAGAAAGGGGGCAGATGTGTCATGTTCGGAGAGGCCCTTGTTGCTTCTTCGCGAGCCCCTCTCCTTTAAGTGTGTCACTTTTTCCCCGGGGGCAGCTTCGAAGAGCGAGGAAACATCTCCTGACTCACTCCTGGGGATGTTTGATCTGCCTCCTTCATCCTCGCAGGAGGGAACCAGCAAGGCATCTGAGACACTAGAACTGCAAATGGAAAGGGATGGCTGCCGCGAGACTCTTAAACTGGATGGGCAATCGTTCCCGGAAAGATTGGCAAGGTGTCGATATATTTATACCCTTTTCGGCACCGCTTAAATCTTCTTTTAGGGAGATTTCGCTAGCAAGCTGGGGATATGTAAAGTCCTCTTCCCCGTTGAGCGCTGGAGTTCGGAGTGAAAGCGAAAATCCGGCTTGGGCAGCTTTCCACCCATCGTTTTCGCTAAGGCTAATGCATACCGATTAAAATGCCCTTAATATCCAAAAGACGTCTCCATGTACAGAGGAGGGCAACCAAGATGGTGAGGGGGTTGGAGCACCTTCCCGATGAGGAAAGGCTGAAGAGTCGGGGACTTAAGAACATAAGAACGTAAGGACATAAGAGAAGCCAACGTTGGATCAGGCCAATGGCCAACCCAGTCCAACACTCTGTCACACAGTGGCCAAAAATACCAGGTGCCCTCAGGAGGTCCAGCAGTGGGGCCAGGACACTAGGAGTCCTCACACTGTTCCCCCCCCAAGCACCAAGAATACAGAGCATCCCTTGCCCCAGACCGAGAGTTCCTATCTGTACCTTGTGACTAACAGCCACTGATGGACTTCTGCTCCACACGTTGATCCAATTCATAAGAACATAAGAGAAGCCAACGTTGGATCAGGCCAATGGCCAACCCAGTCCAACACTCTGGGTCACACAGTGGCCAAAAATACCAGGTGCCCTCAGGAGGTCCAGCAGTGGGGCCAGGACACTCGAAGCCCCCTCCCACTGTTGCCCCCCCCAAGCTCCAAGAAGAAAGAGCATCCCTTGCCCCAGACCGAGAGTTCCTATCTATACCTTGTGGCTAATAGCCACTGATGGACCTCTGCTCCATATCTATATATCTAATAGTGAAAGGTGCCCCCTGCATGCGGATATCTAAATCCGTGCATCGGGGGCCCCTGGGAGGCAGGGAGATTTTCCTGCACACTTAGGGCAGTCCCCAGGTATGCACAAAAATCTAAAAAGTAGAAAAAATATAGGGGGGATATTAAAATCCCCCCAAAAGTAAAAGAGCATTTCCTGCGCATGCGCAGAGAACGCTCTGAGAACTCTGTGGTGGGCCGGCAGCTGGAAGGGAAAGGAGTTTGTCAACCTCTCTGAGACTCCTTTGGGTAGTGAAGGGTGGGGTATAAATCCAATCTCTTTTCTTCTTCTTCTTCCTGTGTAAAGAAGGAGGGACGATAGCTTCGTGTTGCGGCAAGAAGACCTGGACTAGAAAGACAGATGGCCTAAATCAGTATCTTCACCTTGCCTAATCTATATACTAGGACAAGAGCAGTCCAACCCTATGAATGAAAGACATTCACTGAAACGTTGAAAGACCCTGCAAATTCAATGAAATAATGGAAGACCCAGATTCGTGATTCTTTCCCCATGCCGAAATCCCCCACTTGCAGACAGGGGTCATTTTGTAGAAAAAGAGGTGCAGGAGCTCATTAGCATAACCCATTAGCATAACTTATTTGCATATGCCACACCCACCGCTCAGGCTCCACTGGACTGTTTTGGATTGCTAGCTATTGGGGGGGGACTGCAGATCTGTCCTCGCAGAGGAGGGAGAGCTTGTACCTGAATGAAACTTGGTCTTAAAGGTGCCACTGGACTGTTTTGGGGCGGGGGGGGGCCTCTGCAACTTATCTGGGTGCTTCTTGCTCTGACTGAGGGCTGCTGGGAGCAGGGGGCGGGGCTTGTTGCATGTGCCCACCCACTGGGCTCTTTACTGTCGGAGCTTCACTCCTGTGCGCTCCTGCAGGAAATGACCCCTGCTTGTAGATATCCAACGTGTGGGCCACATTTCTACTTCATCGTTCTTTCGCACTGCTCACACTTCTCCCTTGGCGTGCTTCCTGCTGTTTTTAGATGGTGCGTCCCGTTTCCGGCCATGCGGTGCGTATTGCCTGCTTGTGGCACTCCTCCCCGTCCTGCTGCCTTTCACGAGGGCCGACGGTAATGCATTGCCACAGCCGTTCCCGTCAACGAGGAAACACTGAACGAAGCCATAATTCAGCCTAACGAATGTTGTAAATAAGGGCGAAAACACGGCCAGCTCCTGTTCCGTGGAATTGCTCTTGCTTCGCAAATTGATGCCAGGGGGCCAGTTTTGCTTATTGGTTCTCTGTTTTTTACTGCCGCCTCGTACATTGCTAGGTGGGGGGAGAGAACGGGCCAAATTGCAGGGCCGTTTCCCCCTTCAGAGCCACGGGGACTTTGTCAGATTCAGCAGCTGCCGGACCCTGGACAGAAACATATCATATATTTGGTGTGTGAGTTTGCCCCCCCCCCTTCGTTCAGGCCATTAGTAAGGGGAAACAACTCTGGGTCTTTGCAAATACTTCATTTCAAAGTCTCATATCCTCTTGATACTTATCCCCCCCCCCCCACCCCTTCATCTCCATCCGTCCCTTTTTGCACCAAGCAGAACTTTTTCAAGGCTGGCCTCTGGGATTCTCTTGTGTTAAGTTTAAATCCTCTCTGATGGTAAAATACAGAACTCCTTCAGAGATGCCAGCCAAGGATTTGCAAATCTGTCCTCTCTTTTTTTTCTGTGGGTATTTCAGGCTTGCCCAGTAGATATACATGATGCTTTGCAATGTAGAAGAATTTCTTCTCGTTGCAAGTGCACTACGTATTTTTTTAATTTTTTAAATAAAAGTTCAAAACTAAATCTACCACAAATGCATGGTGTTCTGTTAACTGTATAACAAAGTCTGAATCCAGGGGCACGTTTAAGACCAACAAGATTTTCTTCTGGGTATAGAGCCAGTTTGGTGTAGTGGTTAAGTGCACGGATTCCAATCTGGGAGAACCGGGTTTGATTCCCCACTCCTCCACTTGCACCTGGCTGGATGACCTTGGGCAAGCCGTACTTCTGGCACAGCTGTTCTTG